CCTCTGCAAGAGCAGCCAGTGCTCTTAACCACTGAGACATCTCTCCAACCCCATGGGTTAGTAAATTTTAATCCTTAGGGTTTTTGTTTTTGTTTTTTCATTCGTTTAAAAAATTGGTATATAGGAGCCGGGCGTGGTGGTGCACGCCTGTAGTCCCAGCACTTGGGAGGCAGAGGCAGGCGGATCTCTGTGAGTTCAAGGCCAGCCTAGTCTACATAGTGAGTTCCAGGACAGCTGGGGCTACAGGGAGACCCTGCTTCAAAAAGACAAAAAAAAATTGGTATATATTCATTGTATGTAGTACTGGGTTTCATAAAGACATTTTTATGTAAGTATGTAATTGCACTAGAGGAAACCCTCCCATTCTTAATAGCCTCAAAAAAATTTAGGAATAAATCTAACCAAAGACATTAAAGATCTATCTCTACAATAAAAAATTCAAAACTCGAAAGAAAGAGATAGAGGAAGACACTAGGAGATGGAAAGACCTACCATGCTCATGAATTGGTAGAATCAATATTGTGAAAATGACCATCTTATCAAAAGCTATTTATAGATTCAATGCAATCCCAATGAAAATACCCATGACATTCTTCACAGAGCTTGTTAAAATAATCCTAAAATTCATATGGAATCACAAAAGAGCTCAGATAGTCAAAACAATCCTGGGCAAAAAGAGCAATGCTGGGGGGATCACTATACCAGATCTCAAATTATATTACAGCATGGTACTGGCACAAAAACAGACACATAGATCAAAGGAACCCAATAGAAGACCCAAACATGAGTTCATATAATTTCAGCTACCTGATATTCGACAAAAGGTGCTAAGAACACACAATGGAGGAACAATAGCATCTTCAATAAGTGGTGTTGGCAAAACTGGATCTCCACCTGCAGAAAAATGAAACTTGACCCTTGTCTTTCATCCTGCAAAAAAGTCAATTCCAAATGGATCAAAGACCTCAGTATAAAACCTGAAACTTGGAAACTGCTAGAAGGCAACATAGGTGGCACCCTCCAAGATATAGGCATAGGAAAAGACTTTCTAAACCAGACACCAGCTACTCAGGCACTAAGGTCAACAATAAACAAGCGGGACCTCATTAAATTATGAACTTTCTGTACAGCAAAAGAAACAACTAAGGTTACTGATCCATATCCATGCTTTAAAAAGAAGGAAACCAGGGTTAAGAGATGGCTCAGCTGTTAAGAGCACCGACTGCTCTTGCAGAGGACTTGGGTTCAATTCCCAGCACCCACATGGTGGCTATGAGTTGTCCTTAACTCCAGTTCCAGGGGAATCCGAAGCCTTCTTCTGACCTCCACAGCATTGCAGGACACCGGTGCATTCTCATACATGCAGGCTCATACACATAAAAAATAAAAAAAAAATATTAAAAAAGATCCAAAATATACAAAGAACTCAAAAAGAAAAAAATAAGAAGATAAACAACCCAATAAAAAGATGGGTGATAGACCTAAATAGAGAGTTCTCAAGCAAAGAAATAAACATGGCTAAGAAGCATGGCTAAGAAGCACCTTAAAAAGTGCTCAACATTCAAAGCCGGACATGGTGGCGCATGCTTTTAATCCCAGAACTCAGGAGGCAGAGACAGGAGGATCTCTGTGAGCTCAAGGCCAGCCTGGTCTACATAGTGAATTCCAGGACAGCTGGGACTACAGGGAGACCCTGTCTCAAAAAGACGAGAGAACGAAAGACTCCAAATGCTGGAGAGGATGTGGAGAAAGAGGAATGCTCATTCACTGTTGGTGGGAATGTAAACTCGTGCAACCACTGTGGAAAGCAGTGTGCAGAACTCTCAAAAAACTACAAATGAACCTACCATATGATCCAGTGATACCACTCCTTGGCATATACCCAAAGGACTCATCTTACTGTAGAGATACCTGTACATCCATGTTTGTTGCTGCTCTCTTCACAATAGCTAAGAAATGGAAACAACCTAAATGTCCCCTAACTGACAAATGGATAATGAAAACGATGTGATACATCTACTCAGTGGAGTTCTACTCAGCAGTAAGAAAAGATGAAATTATGAAATTCGCAGGTAAATGGATCGAGCTAGAGAGCGTTATACTAAGTGAAGTAACACAAATGCAGAAAAGCAAGCGACATGTTTTCCCTCATTTGTGGATTGTAGCACCAATCCTTATATGTGAGTATATGAATTCTGATGTAACACCAGGAGCCAGGTAAAGGCAAAGGATACATGGAGGTAAAGGAAAAGAAACAACCTGAAAGGGGGATAGTAAGGAACAGATGTTACCTGAGGGAGGTGGGAAAAGTAGGAGTAGGGAGGAGAAGAGGGATGGACATGCAAGGGACCATAGTGTGGGGGAGTGAGGGAAGTCAGGAATGGAAAGATGGGGGGAGGCAGGAGGTATTGGGGGAAGGTGGGAATAATGGGGGCACTCTGACTAGGAAGGGAGGGAAGAGGGAGGCTGGATGGGAGAAAAAAGAGTAGAGATGAGTGAATCTTGGGGGGTAGGAAACCTAGAGGGAAAAGTGATGCCCTAGAAACACTATGAGAAATGCACTTAGAGTGTCTGTCTGAACATTCATACATATGTATATACCTAGGAGCTGCTTGGAAGGGAATGCAGTGCGAGACGGAAGAGACCTCCCTTAGAGTGACAAACATGTCATACAGCATTCATCAAAGAAGCTTCTTTTTGAAATGGAGGCTACTGCAGAGTTGCACATCTGGTCAGGCATAGAGAACATACACCTGGGAGATGCCCAGTACTAGGTGACACATCTGCAGTTGAATCTCTATAACCAAGGCTCATGGGATATTGCGGAATAAGGGACAGAGAGAGAGCTAATGAACACCTCAACTCTCACCAGTGAGGCTTCCATGTACATCAGAGTGCATTAAGGCCACAACTGACCAAGTTTTGGAGAATAAGAGACTGTAGAGTATAGGATGGAACTCCTATATGGAACCTCACCCATCCATGGCTCAGGGACCATTGTGGAAGAGGAGGCAGAAAGATTGTAAGAGCCGGGCTGTTTCATGAACGGATGAAGTGGAGGCTTGCTCATGCTGCAGCAGTGACATCCAACACTGGACCCATCTCAGCTCAATTAGACAAGGACCCAAAGGGGAGTTGAGAAATAGGTGGCTGGTCAGCACTAGATCGAGAGCTATTTGAGACTGGTTGCTGCTGGGTGAGGGAGAGTATGACTTACATATGACCACTGGATGGCCTGACTAGACCAGTGGACACTGAAGGACATTTGAGTACAAACACCTGAATGACTAGGACTCAGCATGTATGGTAGAGTGCATGGGGTTCGGTGGGGGGTAGGAAGAGGCATGGATGGGGGAGGGGGTCTGGATGTGAGTGGGAAATATTGTATGAAATTTTAAAAGCTCAGTAAAAAAAGAAAATACACTCTTGAAATTATAAATTATGAAGAAGTAATACTGAGATGCTTTAAAAGATGCTGAATTTCACTAAGACTTAGGTCAATCCAAAGCAATCTTTTCAATTATATTTGTACTGTACATAAAGCTGTATATTAAGTAATTACATAATTAACATATGCAAGCCATTATATAAGAATTGTATAGCATATAAGCACATAATAATTATAGTGAAGCCATATAATTCTATGTCATATAATATGTATGCTGCATTATCAGTTCTACTGAGATATAATTCATATATAGAACTCACTGAGGATGCTATTACTAATGGTTCCTAGTATATTCAGAGTTGTGCAACCATCACCAAAGCCTGTTTGGGAACATTTGGAACCATCTGTTAAACTCTGCTAGATGGTTGCTCTATTTCCAACAATTCTCCAAAGCAAGAGTTGTTGTGTAGTCAAATCCAGTTACATTTGAACTCCTTTTCAGAGTAGTTTTTGAGACCAGCCTTTGAGATTTATTCTGATCCTTGGGAGTTCATTTTTAGCAGTCTTTTATTTTACCTGATTCTTTCTGATAAATTAGTGGGCCTTGGTTTACCTTATTGTTCTCAGGGAGCAACCTGTTTCCTGTTAATCACTGACCTTCAAAATCACCAATGGTTTTGAGGGTATCCTTAGGGTTGAACTTCATCACACTCGATTACAAATAAAGTCAGTTTCTTTGGAGAAATATCTGGAGCTTTCTGTTCTCATGACTCACTTCTTTCCCTGAAGAAAATGTTTATGCCACTGCTCTGGACCAAGGCCTGCTTATCTGAGTGACGACCTGGAGCTTCTTAGCTTGTTTCTCCCAGCATGGAAGAAGCAAGCAGGAGCGAGGATGACTGGGGCCCCAGTATTCTCAGCTCTCCTTATCTGGGGTTGAGTTGAGCCCCACAAGTAGGTACTGGTGGGAAAAGGGAGCCCTCTCCTTCTTGGTCTTACTCTCCTGGAATTTAGTCTCAACAACACATAGCTTTGGGGGCCCAAGGTGATAAATATTGGTGACCTGCTCCTTCCAGGGATGTACCATTACCCTCCCTTTTGTCGACTAGGGAAAGTGGAAGACTCATTTTGGTCACACTTTCCCAGTGTGGAATTTCTCTAATGATGAACTAGGCAAGGGAAGGAAAAGTTGAATCATCGCTAACATTCTACATCCGCTCAAACATTTACCAAAGTATGTGTTAATACTTGACATGGGTTATGATACTGGTGTGTCTCCCACCACTGGGTGTATCACACTGAGGCCAGGAGACTTTTCCTGTCACAAAACTCATCTAGCTCAATTTCCAGCAAACAATATATACTTTTTGGAAATGGAAAGAGAAGGTGCTGGGAAACCCAGCATTGTAGTCTGGGATGTATCACAAAGGCTTCTATGGTTAGCACAGAACTAAGAAAAGATACATTCACACACACACACACACACACACACTCACTCACTCACGTAGACAATGATCTTGGTAGCAATATGGTGATAGAGTAAATCAAGCTTTTATCAAAGAAACACCCTCTCAAGTCTGAGAAAAACAATTCCTTTTGCTAACCCATGTTCTATTTCGATTACTAGCTAATGGGTCACACAGACATCTGGGACTCAGGCAGTGACTGCTGCTGAGAAAAAAAATGTAGGATAGAACAGGGCAAAACTGGTGTCAGTTATAAAGGATGTCATGCTGTTCACCCCCAAACTCTATCCCGTTAGCCATGTATTTGCATCCATCCATCCATCTACTCACCATTCACCTATCTGTCCATCCACTATCTACCCATTCATCTACTATCTTTCCATTAATTCACCATCTATCCCTCCACCCACCATACATCTATCATTCACCATCTATCCATCCACACACCCACCATCCATACATTATGTAATAATGTACAGTTTTCCACCTTTCAGTACCGTCTTGGTCTGGTTATTTCTACCTCATACTGAATGCAGGCCATACAAGATTGAAGGAAGGAGATTCCCTATCATCTAAAATCCTCCCTTTTCTCAATCTTTGTTCAGTTGAGAAGCTGTTTTGTGAGCCCTTTTTTCATACTTCTATTTTCTGGCCAATAATAAAACTTCTGAACAACAAAAATGGCTTCATCATCAGCTGGACTTGGTATTGGTTCTACAATTCTGAGACATAAAAAAGATAGTTGGTGTGTGTGTATGTGTGTGTGTGTGTGTGTGTGTGTGTGTAATTAAGTTGAATGCAAAGAGAACAGTTAAATGAAATGGAAAGAAATTTCAAAGAACAGCTGTGAGAATCATTGTTAAAAACATTAGCTGAGTTCTAAGAACAGGCAGGCTAGAGGGAGAGGAAGAAAGGAAGAGGAAGCCAAGGACACCCATGGGACCTAAGTTTGCCTTAAGAAAATCAAAGTAGGGGCTGGAGAAATGGCTTATGGTTAAGAGCACTGATTGCTCTTGTAGAGGACCTGGGTTCGATTCCCAGCACCCACATGGCGGCTATGAACTGTCCTTAACTCCAGTCCAGGGAAATCCGAAGCCCTCTTCTGACCGGCATTGAACGGCACGGGTGCACTCACATACATGCAGGCAATACACTCATATACGTACATACATAAATAAATAAAATATTTTATAAAAAATATTTTTTTAAAAAATGTGAGAAGGCATGGCTTTATGTGACATTTAGTGTTCTGTCAACTGGACTTGGTTAACTGTGTGTGAGCATCTGGGAGAGAAACAAGCATGAGGGAAAACTAGAAGGTCATACAACTATTGGGACAAGGAAAGAGTGTTTTTCAAGGAAGATAGTGTCCTATTTAGCTTTAACTGTCAACTTGACACAGTCTAGATTCACCTAAGAAAGGAAAGGAGTCTCAATTGAAGGATTTCAAAGATCACATTGGCCTTTGGGCATGTCTGTGGGAGAAATTGATATAGGAAGGCACAGCCCACTGTGGGAGGTGCCGTTCTGTAGCCAGGTGGTTCTGGGCTGTATAAAAAAGCTAGCTGAGCATGGGCCTGGGAGCAAATCATCAAGCAGTGTTCCTCCATGGTTTCTGCTTCAAGTTTCTGCTTGAGTTCCTGCCCTAACTTCCCTCAATGGTGAACTATAACCTGCAAGCTGAAACAAAGCTTTTCCTCCTGTTTTAATTAATTATTATTATTATTATTATTATTATTGGTCTTATTGAGACAGGGTCTCCCTGTAGCCCCAGCTGTCCTGGAACTCACTATGTAGACCAGGTTGGCCTTGAACTCGCAGAGATCTGCCTGCCTCTGCCTCCCAAGTGCTGGGATTAAAGGCATGAGCCACCACGCCTGGCTCTCCTGTTATTTTTGATCAGAGTGTTTTATCACAGTAACGGAAAGGAAACTAAGTCAAATGGAGTGGCTGAGTAATCGTGTTCTCTGTGGAGGACTGGCATAAATCTCCATTGTTAGGTTTTGGGGAGGGAGAAGAGGAGTTTGAGAGAGAGAGAAACTGACTTGAATTGTTTTTCAGGCAAGAAATTTATTAAAGCCCCAGCAAGCAGTGGGGGTGGGGTGGGGAGGAGGTATTCTAAAAGTCTGAAGTGGGAAGCTTTAGACCCACCAAAGCAAGATATCTACTTCTGAAAGTTTCTGACGGAAGGGCAAGTCTTGCATTGCCAGGAAACAGGCTTAGTTAGTATGTGATCTGTACTACAACCATGGTAAGAGAGCAGGGTATATGTAACTTGGGCTAGGTGACAAGGATCATTCATTTTCTGGGAAGAGGAGTTGGGGCTTGGTTAAGGTATGACCTATACAACTTGACAGTAGTCAACTGCCTCTGACTGCTGGGTTGCAGGGGGACTAGGTGTGCTCCTGTCCAGCTTACAGCTTTCTCTGCTTAGGGACTGGTTACCTACAGGGCCTGAGTCTGTAACATCCATCAGAAGGAAATGAGATCTGGTATTAGTGGCCAATGCACTCAGTAGCAGAGAGAACGAAGACCTAATGAAAATGAGGGTGTGGGACAGCAGATAGCTCAGTGGATAAATGCGCTGGTTACCAAGTCCTGACTGCCTGAGTTCAATCCCTGGGACCCACACCGTGGAAGAAGAGAATCGATTCTGGCAAGTTATCCTCTGACTTTCACACACATATTGTGGCATGTGCACATTCCACTCCCATTACACATAAAATTAAATAAATAAACTTAACTTGAAAATTTAGATTTCTTTCAGAGGATTAAATTGGATGGGGGGATATTTGAGACATGAAGAGTTTTCAATTTGCCACAAAAATTTTTTTAAATGTAAACTTTAGGGGCTGGAGAGATGGCTTAGCAGTAAAAGCATCTACTGCTCTCAAAGAGGACCTCAGTTCAGTTCCCAGCACCCACTTCAGGAGGCTTACAACTACCTATAACCCCAGTTCCAGGGGATCCAAAGCTATCATCTGACCTTCACAGGTACCCACATTCATATGCATATACCCATGCACATATACACAGAGACAAATAATTTAAAATAAAATAAAAGAATAGCAAGTCATGATGGCATGCCTTTAATTCCAGTACTCCAGAAGCAGAGGCAGATAGATCTCTGTGAGTTCAAGTCTAGCCTGGTCTACATAGTGAGTTCCAGGCCAGCTGGGGCTACAGGGGGACCCTGTCGCAAAAAGACCAAAAAAAAAAAAGTTTAATGTGTGAGACAGTGCCTATGGAAAGTACGAGACTGAAGATAAATGAGGAACTGCAAGTCCAAATGGGAAAAGACTGTGTGGAGGCCCCAAACACTTCTCTACAGTTAGTCTGAATATCAGAGTCTACTTCCACAGAGCCTAGAGAAGTTCTTTTTGGATTTGAGATACGTACAGATCCAAAGTCTGGAAATGAGCACTTCCAAAGCCTGAATGTCTTCAGTGATAACCTAGTATTTTGGAAAAAAAAATCAGTGATTCTTGATATGAAAGTCTTGTTTTCAATTCCCTGTTTAATACTAGTGACGTTGTGTAAATCTTTTCTTTCTTTGTATTTCATTTTCACCCATAACATAAGGAATTAAGGATCAAACAAAACTAAGTGGTGGCTGGGGATGTATCTCAGTGGCACGATGCTTGTCCAGTGTACTTAGGTGGATCCCCAGCACTGCAAATGAATGAATGCATGAATGAATGAATCACAAGGGTACTTATACCTCTAACTTTCCCATAGTCTGAATCTAATGCAGAAAATGTGGATAGAGCAAGGACTTTTAACTTACCAGTTGCAAAGGAAGTCCACATGGAGATGGCTAGTACAAGGACAGCAGCTGAGATGGTGACCTTCATGGTGACAGAAAAGCTGTGGAAGGAAATACACAGGCTTTTTTTTTTTTTTCCTTTTTAGGGATTTTGAGATAAAGTCTTCTTATGTAGCCCCAACTGGACTGGAACTTGCCTCAATCTCACAGAAATTCATCTGCCTTTGCCTCCCAAGTGCTTGGATAAAGGAATACGAAATGCATTTTCTTGATGATAGTAATAATGAAGGAAGGCCTTAACTTCTTCCCAGCTCTATTACCTCTTAGTTGTAGAAGATGCTCTTGACTGACACCACCTCATGGGTTGAAGACTGTTCACCAGTGAATGTTATCAGCCCTATCCTCTGGAAGAAAGTAGCTTTTATCTATCTCTTCTGGTCTAATCTATAGAAAAGTAGCTGTTTGCTATCTTCCCCTGTTCTCTGGGGGAAAGATGCCTTTTGTATCCTGACAGCTGCAGAATTGGCTATTTCTGGGAAAAGAACTAAAAAGACATAAACAAAAAGACTTTCTAATCAGTAATTTTTCTTTAGATTTTCAGAACCAGAACATCCAGTGCTCTCAATGTCTGGCTATGTGTCAGAAAAGTAGGCCACTCTGGACCCCATAGCTGACATACTCTCCCAGAACTCCCTGTGTAAGCTTTATGCCTGCAACCCATGACATAAGACGGCCTTCATGGGCAATAACCTCTGTCTTTGGTTTGATAGCTTTCCAGATAAATCTTCTTCCTTGCCCTAACAAATTTTCTTTTTGTCAGTGGCTTTTAGGCATGGTGAGGAAATGAACATGGATTCACAGAATAGAACAGAGAAAATTCCGTGTAAAATACAAAGTCTTACAGAGATACTTCCTTGACCAGGAAACGAAGTAAAAACATATTGCTCTCTCCAAAGTTATTTGGAATGAATTGTGTCTGATGCAATTAAATTGCTGAATTCCTTTTCTTAGAACAACTGGACATTAGGCAGAAAAATGACCTTGGTCTTCTCTGCCTACTCACAGCTTCTGTCATGTTACTGCTGCACTGACATGGTGCCCATGCCTCAGGACACAACATAGAAACAACTCATGGTATGGTTCATGTCACTATAAGAAACTTACTGAAGGGAAACAGGAGCAGTTTTTTTTTTTGACATATAATGACATTGGGCTTAATCATACATTTTTTTTTTTTTTTTTTTTTTTTTTTTTTTTTGGTCTTTTTGAGACAGGGTCTCCCTGTAGCTCCAGCTGTCCTGGAGCTCACTATGTAGACCAGGCTGGCCTTGAACGCACAGAGTTCTGCCTGCCTCTGCCTCCTGAGTGCTGGGATTAAAGGCGTGCACCACCACACCCAGCTGCTTCACTGTTTTTTATGAGCATATGTAAAAGATCACCAGTACTCTCCTGTCTGTAATGTGAATGCCTCAGGTCAGCTGAAAGAGGGTGCCCTCTTTCCTATCTGGGTACTGGTACATAAGGATGAACAGCTTGCTGAACTGATGCTCCCCGTTTCTACTAATGTATGTCTGAAAAGCATCCTAGGATTGGAGTTGGAACTGGAGCCTTCATCCTCAGCAAGTTCAGACTTAGTTTTCCAGAGATGACAGGAAGCTTTGTGTTCATTAACATTGATGCATCCACTGAAAGCTGGATTGACTGGAAAACTTATAAACTCTTTTTTAAAAATTTTTTTATTTATTATTTTTATTTTATGTGTATACGTGGATTGCCTGCATGTAGGTAAGTGCAATGCCTGCGGAGGTCAGAAGAAGCTGTCGGATCCCCTCGGACTGGAGTTACAGACAGTTGTTAGCTGCCATGTGGGAGCTGGAATTTGAACCCGAGTCTTCTGCAAGAACAACTCTTAACCTCTGAGTCATCTCTCCAGCCCCAACTTCTAAACTCTTAGATTTGACAATTAATGCTGTTTGTAGCTGTGCTTCATTAAGGAAAAACTACTTGGAGTTGTTTAAACCAAGAGTGAGATCAATTTGTTCTGAGGTGCACTGATTTCTCTCAGAACGGTTCTCATAAAACTGTGTATTATTCTATTCTTTTACTCTGTCTAGCAAATGGCTTCCTCTCATATATATTGAACAGTTTATCAAGCACGGTATGGGAAAGACATGAGCAATCTTTGATAAAACAGCTTTACAAAGGAAGTTGTTTTTCTGACCCTATTGATTCAGAACAGCATACAAAGCCACAAACAGATGCCGTCAACTATGCCCACATGTTGCTTTCAACATTTTTGAGAACATGTCTTTAATGTCATTGTTGTTTTCAACATCACCATTGCCATACCTCATGCACACATTCATTGTTCTAAGTCAGGGGCATAACTGAGTCACAAAAAAATAGGGAATATGGTTTAAAAATTAAAGCTATACAATCAGCTTAGCTTGTAAGAATTAATTACATTGAAATTCCAAATCACAGTAGGACAGATTACATTGCTTTTCTTAGAGATCAGTTAATTCTGAACAGAGTACACAATATGTAAACAGGACTACATAGTTCTAAACATTCTCAAAACATACGATTAACTTGGTTTATAAAGTTATATAAAATTTCAATTTATAAAGGCTTTTACAGAATGGCATTCCCAGAAAAATCCTTTCCACAATTATGGACATTATTTTGGGTCATCATATAGGGCAAGAAGAGTCATAGGTCAACCTGAAATGGGTTCAAATTAATTGACCACACACTGCCTGTTTTATAGCACTTTCCTCTGAATTGAAGCATTTCCTTTGGGAGGGAATGGGAGACTTATGAGACTCAGGAGGTAAACAAAAGGTCTTATGTCTGAGAAAGTGGAAACTTGGAAGAGTCTCAAAGGCCCTTCCCCAGCCTTGTAGACACAAGTAAACAACTGCTGGAGGAGGGGACTTTGACCAGAGGAACTGCAGAGAAGAGAGATTTCTTAGACTGTGGAGCTGCCCCCAAGTTGTATAGAAAGCTGCAGGTCACAACTTTCTGTGAGTTGTCACCATATTCTGGTGAGTTTTTCAGTAATAGAGTTGCTTTTTTGAAAATTCCTGTTCCTGAAAGTAATCCTTCACCCATACTTCTGTTAAAAAACCCCAATAAAAACGCACGGTTTCACCAAGTTCGACTTTGGTACAATCATTACTTTGGTCTGTTGTGGGTTCCCTTTCTGGGGTGAGTTGATATATATCTATTGAATATCTCCAGGAAAAAGTGTCATACAATACTGTCCCAGATATCAAGAAAATCTACAGCGTTTCCTGGGTTCCTATAATGGAATGAGAGACTTGCTGATGGAAAGACCACACTGAGCCAGAAGATTAACAAATTATTAACAATTAAAATATTCTGCTTTACTGGTGATACAGAACAATCTGCCTGTTATGGAGACTAGTTGAATATAATTTTTACTCAGCCTTATAAATACTACTTTGTTAAAAATGGAAGACTGTGGGAAAAAGTCCTAAGAAGTTCAGTGTGGGAAGCTCGCCAAGGCCTTCAAATACTTTCTATAGGAAATGTGCTGATAAGCTGTCAGCATGATCTGGCTTACCTCGTCATAAACACACTCAAACTTGAGTAGCCTCAGTTCTAGAGAAAGTCCCTTTAGCCAGTCTGTCACAGCAGTCAGATGGAACACAATAGTCCTGTGAGTGCCCTTGATGCCCTAGATAGACACTGGACCAAGGAGTTGTCCTGCTGAGCAGATGCTCCTCGTCTGGATCATGAAAGTTCAGTGTCATCCCATCAACTGGCCTCCTCTACCTTTCACCCATGCATGGCTACTAAACCTCTTCCGAGTAGCTAGATTTATCATTGTCTCTGCCACTCACTCCTTTTTTGGTATGTATCACGAATCATGCCCATGCCGCTACTATAGCTCTCCAGTATATTTTTGTTTTGAAACGGGGTCTCACTCTGTGGCCCAAGCTAGTCTTGAACTCACTTTGTAGTTCAGTATGACTTCAAACTTTTAGCAATACACTTGCCTTAGCCTTCCAAGTGTTGGGATTACAAGCAAGCCTCCAATCTCCTTGTCTTCTCTTGTCAGCTTTTCCCTGTGCTTCCCCAGCTTGTATCTGATCAAATTCTTTAAGTGCAACTCTTTGTGTAGGAGCATGGGTCTGTGTTTGTTTATGCAGTTTTTGTGATTTTAGACATGCTTCCTTACTGTGCTTCATCAAAAAACAAAAAAGGATTGGGGCTAGAGAGAGATGGCTCAGTGGTTAAGAGCACTGACTGTTCCTGCAGAGGACCTGGGTTTGGTTCCCAGCACCCACATGGCGACTAACAACTATCCCCAATTCCAGTTCCAGGGGATCTGATGCCCTTTTCTGACCTCCTTGGGCATTATATGACACAGGTGCACTTACATATATGCAGGCAATACACTCATACACATAAAACAAAAATAAGTAAAAATTTAAAAAAGGGGACGGTGGGCATTTAAAAATTTTACATTCTCAATGGTTCTTTTAAGAGAACTGTGTGGAATGGATATCTAGGTGGCTAGGTCATTAGTTCCTCTCTCAGCTCCAAAGTAGTTAACAAGAATGACAGAGTGATTTTAGGCAAGAGAAACTCTGAGGAATGTGGAAGACTGTTATTAGTATTTGGACTGTTGGTTGTTTGTGACCAGTAGTAGAAGCATCTGTTATGTAGAGAGGCAGGCAGGATGATGGTCACCTTTTCCTATCACAATGGGTTCACATTTGCCATTCTATAAATAAAGGGGAGGTATATATCCTGCTGGAAACCCATAAAACATGAACTTCTAACACAGCATGGAGTTTTCGCCAAAGGAGTGGCTTCATTATTAGAAAATAATATGACTTGCTGGGTGTGGTGGCTCATGCCTTTAGTTCCAGCACTTGGGAGGCAGAGGCAGAGGCAGAGGCAGGCGGATCTCTGTGAATTCAAGGCCAGCCTGGTCTACATAGTGAGTTCCAGGCCAGCTGGGGGGGCAGGGGGACCCTGTCTCAAAAAAACCAAAAAAAAAAAAAAAAAAAAGAGAAAATTATGGCTACCTCCACACCTCCACTCTGCAAAGTTACTGTTGCCTTAGCACCTAACACCTTGCCATATCAATATATCTGCAAGAAGTGCCTTCCAGATAAAGAGTGGGTCTCCATCCCTCTGTCCCCCAAAAGGGAGAGATAGGGCCTAAATCATGTCAACAGTGAGGGTATGAGGGACAGCTGGGACGGTCATCAACACAGTATCATGTGGAGTAAGGTAGTCTTGATTTCAGCAGACTTCCTATAAGCTAAGTTAAATTGTTATGAAACCCACTTCTGAGGAAGATTCCTAATCCTCTGAAGTCCCTTTTGAGGGAAGAAGGGGCCAGTCTGTAAGGCAGTAAAATTGTTTTCAGCAAACAAACACGCCCCCCCCACCCCTCCCTGGTCTTCTGTAAGTAAGGCGGTGACGGTCAGCCTCCCCCATACAAGGAAGGAAAGAACTGTGGAAATCAAAGGCCACACAGCAAGAACCCAGCTATCCAGGGCATGCTGAATGCTGACGAGAGCTCAGGCACAGTTCTAAAGGTAGGAAGAGACTTTTCAGACACATTGCTTCCAGCTAAGATAAGGAATGTGTCACTCTGCCAGAGGAAGGCTTTTCACACATTATTAAAAAAACTGTATATCTGTCTCCTAGTTTATCGAAGAAAAAGGAAGATGATTTTTTTATTATTATTATTTTATTTTATGTATATGAGTGTATTGTCTGCATGTAGGTAAGAACACCTGTGTCGTGCAATGCCCACAGAAGACAGAAGAGGCCATCGGATCCCCTGGAATTGGACTTAGGGAAAAACAAAAATTTAGAACAGAAAAGGTTAATAAAGAATATTTGTTAAGTGAAAAAGAGCCAAGAAATTTTCAGTACATTATTTAAAAGTTTACATTTGCTTCTAAGGTGAGGGCCAGTCCTTAGAAAGCTTAATGATAGGCTGGCTGTGGTGGTGCACTCCTTTAATCCCAGCGCTTGGGAGGCAGAGGCAGGAGGATCTTTGTGAGTTCGAGTCCAGCCTGGTCTACATAGTGAGTTCCAGGACAGCAGGGGCTACAGGGAGACCCTGTCTCCAAAAAAAAAAAAAGTATAAAAGAAAGCTTAATGATGTGTGTAAGTCAACATATGGTAAGAAGTAGGGAGGGACAGAACCCCACACTGGCTGCCACACTCTCAGACTTGCATACTGCTGTTACTTTGGTGTTAAAAACCAATGAAATTACTGAAATGCAAACTACAGAGTTGATAGCGGCAGCTCACTTGCAATATTGAAAATATTACAGTGTATGCTGACTGACATTTTATTTTCAACTTTCTATTCTCTTTATCCTCTATATTTTCTGGGCAAATGATCTACCTAGGCAATTTTAGCCAAAGACCTTCTCTGAATAAAAATAAATAATCAATAAAACAACCTTTTTCTTTCTCAAAAAGTTGCAAATTGGTTAGTCCACTTTACCTGCAGTGACTCCAGCAGCTGCTCTGAGAAACTGGCTGAGTGCAGATAGTTTTTAGTTTGAGAACGAGATAGGCAACCAGGCAGGCAGGAGGTAGGTGTCTTGTCAAGGCCACAGTATGAGGGTAGAAGAGGGGGTGCTTTGAGGTTAAAGGTGTAACACAGTGCGAACTTCCTCTTTTCAACTTCAAATTCCATACTTCCTAAATCTGAGTTCATGTTTCAGCTTTCTGAGGGTGGAGCATATTGTTCACTGCTGCCCTGAAATTGAACTACTCTCTTGCCAAATTTTATATTATTTTAGAGATAACCACACTCATTTTGTTTGTTTTTTGAGACATGGTCTCTGGTAGCCCAGGCTGGCCTTGAATGCTGAAGATGACAGATGTGTACCACCAAACCTTATATACTGATTCTTATTCTTCTAGAACATGGTGATTACCAGGACTCAACGGCAGAAGGAGAAAATTGATTCCTGCAAGCTGTCCTCTGACTTCTGCACGAACACTGTGGCACACTCATCGCACCCTTACCTCCAATAATAAATAAGTAAATATAATAATAAAATTTAAAAGGTCCTTTCAAGTTCTCCTTAGTTTCCTTTCATCTTCATATCCAATCAAATAGGCAAGTGGGTGTGGGGAGGCCAAGGAGGAAGGACAGTGCTTGCCTGGGGCTCAGTTTGTGGGAAATTTAGCCAGGGCTGCATGACAAGTTTTTCAAGTGAATGATAGTCAGAAACTTCCTTAGTTTATTGCATTGCAAATAAATTCATAACAAAGGTGCACTGTAAAGAGAGTTGGTGTAAACTTTTATTGAATGTCTGCTCTGGAATAGGCATAAATGTATATATCATATATTTTAGCAATATTTCCAAAAATAAAATTTCACATGACATATGAAATTATTACTAAAATTTAGTGTTTTGATAAGGCAATTACATTAAATTGCTCAAATACTACTCACCAAGATCAAGAAAATCAGACCTGGAAGATTGCTGAGGTGTTATCTAATCCACTCAAGTGCTTGGCACTGGAAGAGAGACCTGAGACCTGGCCAGGTTTCAGTGAATCCTAAGAAGTCTATCATCTGTCTATCATCTCTCTATCTCTCTATCTCTCTCTCTATCTCTCTCTGTCTATCTATCATCATCATCTGTCTATCATCATCTATCATTTTTCTATCTTATCATCTATCTGCTTGCCTGCCTGCCTACCTGTCTTCATTTAGTAGAGTCACTAAGAACTCACAGGAAAAATTCTAAACTGATGTCTTGGAAACAGAACAGTGGTTGAGGACTATGTTGACTATGTTGTCACAAACTGTTCAGTATCTGATGTTCCAGATCACACTATTCTTAGCCACTTTAGGTGTACAGTGGTGTGATGATTAGTATTGATTGTCAACCTGACAGGATCTGGAATCACTTTGCAGACAAACATATCTGGGAGAGATTATTTAGATTAGGCTAGCCTCTGGGTATGCTTTTAAGATATTATCTTGATGAGGCTAATTGAGGTGGGGAGGCCACCCCTGAAAGAAGGCAACACTATTCCCTTGGCTGGGGTCTTGGACAACATTAAAAGGAGGAAGCAAAGCTGGGAGTGGTGGTGCACAGCTTTAATCACAGTGCTCGGGAGCAGAGGCAGGCAGATCTCTGTGACACTGAGGCCAGCCTGGTCTCCATAGCAAGTTCCAGCCCAGCTGGGGCTACAGGGTGACCCTGTCTTCACACACACACACATGCACACACACACACACAGAAACAGACACACACACAGAGACACACACACACACACATACACAAGGAAGAAGCTATTCTAGCACCAGCATTCATCACTCTCTGCTTCCTGATTGCAGATGTGATATTGACCAGCTTGCCTCAAGCTGCCACTGTGGACCCATGAGCCATAATGAACCCTTCCTTCCTTAAGTTGATTTTGTTGGGGTCTTTTATCACAGAAAAAAAAAAAGTAACTAAGCCACGTGATCTCATTTTAAAAAATGTGTATGCTGGTGTATGTGACTACATGCACATATAGAGGCGGAAGGGGTGTCAGGCTTCCCCCTTTATCACTCTCTGCTTATTCCTTTTAGGAAAGTCTTCACCTGAGGCTTATATTTTCTTGACTAGGAAAGAAGGCTGAATGCCCCAGTTGATCCTCCTGTCTCTACCCCACCCTCAGAACTGAGGTTTCAGGCATGTACAGGATGTCTAGCTTGTTACATGGGTGCTGGGATCCAAACTTTAGTGCTCATAATAGTGTAAGGTTGATAAGCGTTCTCAACCACTGGGCCATCTGTCTCTGATTTTTTTTTTCTTTTTGTTGTTGCTATTTGCTTGTTTCAGCACTGGGGATTGAACCTCTAGCCACATGAAAGTTGGGTAAGTGCTCTACCACTAAGGTACATCCCCATTCTGATATGTGGTTTTAATGTTCATTTTTCCTGACTTGAGCTTCTTTTTATTATTATTATTAATATTATTATTATTACCATCATCATCATTATTATTTGGTCTTTTTGTGACAGGGTCTCCCTGTAGCCCCAGCTGGCCTGGAACTAGTTATATAGACCAGACTGGCCTTGATTTCACAAAGATCTGCCTGCCTCTGTGCTGGGATGTCCACAATGTCCATCGTTTGAGCTTCTTTCAATGAGCTTGGTCATTCCTTCTCTCTCTCTCTCTCTTTTAAAATTGAGACAGGGTCTTGCTATGTAGCTCTGTCTGGCTTTGTACTTGCTATGTAGCCCAGGTTAGCCACTAGTTATGGCAATTCTCCCCCTAAGTGATTTGATCACAAGTGTGCCCCAACTGACAGCTTCTATGAGCATCTCTTTTCCAACATTTCCTCTCACCTGGAATGCATGCATGTTGACCAAAGTGACCTCTGCTGGTAGTGGCTCAGGGGTGGCAGGCTGTGTGTGATAAGAAACAACAGCTAAACTCTAAGGCACTCTGATTTCCTCTCCCTACAGAGCTATGATTAGCATGTCATTTGCGGCAAGAATGACAGTGGCCGTAAGTGAATGTCACCCTAATTCTCTACAAAAGTGTTATACAAGGAATTAATTATTGCAAACAATTACTAGTGGCTAGAGAATGTCCCAAGAGACTGCCAAAAGTAACTAAGAGTGAAACTTTCCAGCGATTTCCAGTGACGGGAAGCAGATATCCTCAAATAGCCAGTAAATGTGAATCTAATTCCACTTTGCAGATAGAATTATGGTTTTGTTGAGGGATAAATTTCCTTTTATGTGTCCATGCACTTTCTCATAGATCTTAGATACTCAGGCACTGAGGCTATAAACAGGGAATTAGACGCATGAATGTGAAGATGATATGTAATGCAGTTGATAGTCATGGGGGAGGGGGAGACAGTTCACCCAGTGGTGTATCCACCGGCAAACACTGTCACCAGAGCTGCTGGAAACAACCCTAATGACACTCATTGGGTTATATAAAAAAGACATAAAAGTAGAAGAGAGGACTAGTTGGGAAGAAGAAGGGGATTAGGGAGTAGGAAAGGAACAAAAGAGAGAAGAGGGGTGAGTATGATGGAAATACATGATGTACTTGTCACACATATATTATAAAAATGTCATAATAAACCATTATTATGTTTATTATGTATAATATTAAGAACATTTAAAATGGTATATAATGGAGATGCCAAGGAGAGGTAAATAAGGGTCATTTTTTTCTCTCATCAGTGGCATTTGTTAAGAAACAGGAAATGTTGAATATATTCAAAATGGTTGAGAGGAAAATTCATGTAACTGCAAAGACAAGGCTCCTGAGTAAGGTTTGGAGGAAGTTTTTGGAGATCAGTGGCTACAGCAGCCTCAGTAGAAATGTGGTTTTAAAGAATAGGAAGTGAAGACAAACATAAATATCTTAGAACTCTTAATATTTTAGTTTTAAATTACAGCATTTGTTTATTTTGCATGTGTGTGTATGTGTGTGCTCATGCACACCTGCTCACCATGGCACAGGTGTGGAGGTCCGAAGACAACTTTTAGAGCATCGTCTCTCTCTTCTACTATGTGGATCCCAGGGACTTAACTCAGGCTGTTAGATGTGGCAGCAAGTGCCTTTACCACTGAGACATCTTGCTGGTCCTTAATATTTTAGAAGTGAAAAGAGGGAGGAATTTAAATGTTTATCATCTCCTCTGAGACACATATGTCTTGACCAGGTTACCTGGACAACTTCCTACATCCTGTTTATGATCTTCAACTAACACATTGTTTTCAGTATAGTAGGCCAAGGTGATTGAGATTCCTTTAAATGGCATGCAACAGAAAAATGATCACAGCTTGTGGGAAGAGGTCCATGTGAATGGCTTTCTTCCCTGGGACAGTGGAATTGCTTTTGATCTTCTCTCCTGATACAGATGGGAAAGAACACATACTTCGGATAAATAACTGGTGACCAGAAACTGCCAATTTGCTCCAGAAGGCTAATGCATTTGCATAGCAGCTGCCCACTGAATAGTCACGGAGTCAGGTTTTTGGTAGTTGACTCTTGTGCTGGATCAGTGTTGGTTATACTGGGCCCAATGTTCCCTTATCTTAAAAAAATTATTTACTTATTTTTATTTTATATTTTGTGTGCCTGTAAGTGCACCCATGTATGCAATGCCCACAGAGGCCAGAAGAGGATCACCTGGATCACCAGGAACTGGAGTTAGCTGTCACCTGGAGTGTTATTAGCTGTCATGTCAGTGCTGGGAACTGAACCCAGATCCTTTACAAGAGCAGTCAGTGCTCTTAACCTCTGAGCCATCTTTCCAGCCCCATGTTTCCTTATCATCAAGGCTACAATTCTACCCAAATGAAACATGCCTGTTAATATTTTGACCCTTCAAGGCAATACTTGGTCTGCTTCCCATGATGAGTTTTACTTTACAGGTCATTCACCAGAATATGTACTCTGCCAGATGCTGTGTGCATCCATCACGTTTTACGTTGTAGACCAGGAAATTGACAATAGAGTAGATTTGTAGGGCCGTTACTCCAACAGAAGATGGACTTGGGCAATTTATCCTTCGGTCTTGGTATGCCCAAGTTT